CTAGTTATGTTGCAGGGTTTATTAAGAAACTTAATAGCTTTGACTGTAAAGAGTGTAAAGTTAATTTACAGATATATTAGAAGACCATCGATACTTTTACTTATTTTAAAGAAAATGATGATAAAAGACGTTTTATTTATGTACAAAGAAATGTTATTGAATTTCTTTCAAAAATTCATGAAATAGTTTTACCACTTTTGGGCCATATTGACAACATAATTCAAAAAATTAAACTTTTTTTGCCAGACCATGTTGATTTTAAATGGTTTACATTAGAGGCGACTCGTGGCCTAGTCTATGAGGAGACTACTTTTAAAAGGCACACCCTATATACTTAATAAAAATATATGTCTATAAGAATACAAAAAGCAGAAATATTACATTGTATTCTATTAGAAATATATATTTGTATAACGTATATAGGGTGAGCCAGCCTCCTCGCAGACTAGACCACGAGCCGTCTCTGGTTTACATATAAAAAACATAAATCAGACGTCTCTTCTCATTTAAAAACTTGTCTACTATAAATAATAAGAAAGTATTATAATGATAGTATGAGGGCTGCTGCAATGTCTAAAAGACAAACAAAATTATTTGAAGTTACTGCATTTAATTTTTTTCTGTTTCAGTTTATATGGATGGTTGCTTCTGTCTTATTTCCAAAGATTCAAGAAGAATTTGTTGTTTTGTATTTTGTTTATTTTAAAAAATTATTTACTTAGTTTTCATATCAAGTAAATTAATTTTTTGTTGTGCAAATTCTGATTTTTGTTAGCCAAATATAGTTAACGTACGGAAATAATAATGTAATATGTTTGTGATATTATAGTAACTTTCTTAAAAAATCATTTATAAGACGTCCGGGAGCGCCATAGTAAATAATAATAATAATAATAATAATAGACATTCTTGCTTCGCATAAGCTCGCTTGTATGGGGGTGAAGTGCATGAAAAATAATTGTTTGTATTGCCATCTCTTTGATATATTTTTTATTTATTTTTCTTGGGAATTTTTAGTAAATATAATTATATAAAACTTTGTATGATATTTATTTTATCCCTCATAATTATTTGTCATAGAATTTTACATGCAAAATTTTAATTATAATTAAGAGGAAAATTTACTCAAGCAATTATCTTTTTCTAAACAATACGAAATAGAACCATAAATATTTCTATAGTTTAATTTTATTTTTTAGTGAATGAAAAATATGTACCTTCAGGAAAAAGTGAAATGTCCGTTTTTCTGGAGCCACTATTCCGAAATTTGATTTAATTATTTTCTCAATTTTTTTAAATCTTTAAAAAAACAAAATTTTGCGATTTATTGGCATCAAAATTTGATTAAATTTTGAAAAAGTGGCTCCAGAGGAACATATTTTAGCTACACGTTCATGTTTTTTATTTCACTAAAAATTAAAAAAGATATTACCAAAATTTTATATGGCTATATTTCGTATTAGTTAGAAAATAATTGCAAAAGTAAATTCTCCTTTAAAAAAGCCCGCCAATTTTCAAATTAAATATAAAATTACGGGTAACTGCATTACCGACAGAGTAAGAGTTGATGGTAATACTGCTGGTAACTACATTACCTACATTACCCACAGGTCGCTGCAAGCAAACATGTTGCCAAATTTCTACAAAGAAACGGCGTTGTAAATAAATCGAAAATCGTTTGAGATCGAATATTTGCCAAGTGGATGCTAGAATTAAGTCAGTTAAAATTCTAGAGGTAAGTGGATTTGTTTATCCTTACTATGTCGGTATATGCTCATGTAATTATTTATTTTAGTTATTTACATAACCTTATTTTGTTGACAAGCATGATTGGGGTAGATAGCGACATGTAGTCGGGGGCACATATGGACACTGTCCCATTCTACCCCAGAGAAAATCAAGACTGCGAAATTAATTATAATTCATGTGTATCTTTTGTAGTCCCCTTTTTGATAACAATAAACCCCTGAAACACCTTTAAAAAAATAAATAAATTGCATTTCAAGTCCGTTTCTGTGTTATAACCTCTTATGCACTGCTGTCCCAATCTGCCCCAGAGAAAATGTGAGAAATGACTATTTTTCAAGCTTTAAAATGGTAAGGACTTACAAGAGGAATACCAATAGTTCTGCTATATCGGAGGAGAATATAATTTTCGCTATTCAAGATGCTTTGCAAGGAATACTTTCAATAAGAACTGCAGCCATAACCCACAATTTGAAAAAGTCGACTGTGCGTAATAGAGTGAAGAAAATAAAAAGACGACGTCTGGAAGACCCTAACCGAGACAATGACGCTTCTGACAGACAAGATGAAGATGTTGACATATCGTTTTCATCACCATTCCAATCAAAGTATTCGTCTCAACAAGTTTTCACATCTGCCTAAGAAGAACAGCTAGCCAAATATTTTATCCAAAGTGCGAAATTGAACTGTGGTCTCATATACACACAAGCTCAAAAACTGGCATTTGATTATGCCAACAAATTTAATGTAAAGTATTCGCCGAGCTGGAATAACTCGTTATCCGCTGGAAAGGATTGGATGAAATTATTCATGAAGAGGTATCCAATCGTGTCATTAAGGAAGCCGGAAAAATACTAGTATGGCTAAAGTCTTCGGATTTAATGAAACAAATGTAAAAGAATTTTTAAATAATTTACAGAAAGTTTTAGAAAAGTATAAGATACCTCCAGAACGAACCTACAATTTGGATGAAACAGGCGTTGCCACTGTTTTAGACGCACCGAAAGTTATTGCCAAAACTGGTACAAACCAAGCGGGTCAGGCAGTATCTGCAGAACGAGGAGAGCTGGTTGCATTTTGCGCTATAATAAGTGGAGTCGGAAATACAATTTCTCCTGTATATGTGTTCCCAAGAGCAAAATTTAAGGATGTTTTTATAAAAGGTGCGCCCACAGAAAGTCTTGGATTAGCCAACAAGTCAGGGTCAGGATGGATGACATCCATATTATTTTTGGATGTAATTAAACACATACAGAAGCATACAAAATGTACGAAAGATGAACCCATACTGATTGTATTGGAAAAACCACACCAGCCTCGAAACAATTTTATTTTGTAGAGAAAATGGAATTATTTTCGTTACCTTTCCTCCCCATTGCACACACTGCCTCCAGCCTCTTGACGTTGCACTATATGGCCCATTTAAAACCTATTTGAATCAAGCTTTTAATGATTGGTTGGTAAATCATCCTGCTAAAAGGGTGTTTATCTATGAAATTGCCGAACTGACAAAAAAGCATATCAGAAAGCTTTTACACTGGCCAATATATGTTCTGGGTTTAGAAAAAGCGGTATTGTGCCTTTTGGTATTTTTAAGGAAGATGACTTCGCTGCTGCATCTGTAACAGATTCAAGGGCTCCAGAAGAAACAGACGCACCATCAACATCTGCACTGGTCACTAGCACTTCTTTAAATGCACCATCAACATCTGCGCTGGTCATTAGCACTCCATCAACTTCATTACAGCCTGAAGTCATTCCGCCAGACATAACACAACCCTACCCCAAAACAGAGAAAAATAAATTAAAGTTAAAAGGAAAACCACGAATTCTAACAGAGACGCCAGAAAAAGATATACTAGAAGAAGAAAAGTTAGACAAGCAAAAGAAGAATCAAGTGAAACAGAATCTGTTTGATAACAACAAGCAACAAGCAAATTACTTAGATGATTCTGGGGATAAAGTAATCTACGCTGATGATAGATCTGACTTTTTAATTGAAATGGACCGTAAAAATTCCGACCGAGAATTCATGCAAGACGTAGAACCTATCATAGAGCCTGAATCTGGGACACCAAATATCGAAATCGGTCACTTTTTGCTGGTAAAGTATTGCATGAAGAAGATCCAAAAGTATTATGTTGGAGAAGTGGAAGAAATAATCGACGAAAAATATTTAACAAATTTTCAAAGAAAGAAAGAAAATGGATTTTTCTTTCCCCAAGTCACTGATAAGGACCTAATAGAATTGGAACAAGTGGAACTAAAACTACCTAAGCCAAGAACGTCTGAAACAAGTGCAAGGTCAAGTTTAATAAAGCGATTTCAAGTAGACTTCGATGCCTATAACGTCAACTAAACTAAATAAAAATTTTGTGTTTAACTATGCCTTTTTTACATTTTTCACTGTTTCTGCGACTTGTGTTAGATTGTTCTAGCTTTATTCACCAAATAAATATGACTAAAACTTTTAGAACATAACAAATTGTTTTTGTCCACACCCTACACTGTCCAATTCTACCGCAGCCAAGGACAATTTAAATACTTTGGAAAATTGCAAAAATCTAACACATCGATCAGAGAATAATCGCTAAACATTATGGTGATAGATAGTTCATTTATTAGTCGCAACAACATAAGATTATGTGATCAATATATTGAAAGCCAAGCTATATCCAGCTAATTATATTTGTAGTGTCCCAATGTCCCTCCCCTCTCCCCTACCTCTAAACTTTAAAATATACAAGGCGGCTTATTTGTTGGAAGATACTTTATTTTAATAAAAGTACAAAAATACCATAAAAATTCCCAAGTCAAATGTAATTTTTTACCTACAACAAATGCCTTTTTGTCTTTGTCAATTTTGTTCCAGCTGGATCCATTTCTATTTTTTGAAATTGTTGCGTATATTTGTACACGCCTATGAAAACACGAAATGGTGCTATATCGGCGCAGATCGTATTTTCGAACGATTCGACTAATAGAAAACGCAGCAATATCAAATCTTCCAATCGAGTAAAGTGTGGGATGCTATCTCTCTTTAATTAGTATTTCACTTTCATGTAGGCAATAAAATTTAGGCAAAAATTATGGGTTGGACCTCAGATGATTGTTAATTAGCCAATATTTTTTTAGGACAAACTTTTAAATATTCGTTTTCATTTTCTTTTCATATTTTCTTGAAAACCATACATTTGATTCATAAAATTTTCAGAACTTATTCCCTATAGGTACAATATAAAATGTCAACTTACCTATCGTCAGGATCACAGTCTCGAAATCCTTTGGCAAAAGGATTACTAGCAATCTTAAGTTGAGTAATCTGAAAAATAAATATAAATTTAAAAACTGTTTTAAAAGAATGTCAAAAAAATAGAAAAAAATAATTATTTTATTACAGTTTACCTAAAGCAACGAGCTTGAATAAATACCTAGTAAATCTTTATCAGTAATCCACTGATAATTTTATTGAATAAGATTTGTTATTTATTTATCTTTTCTAGTATCAAAAAATTCCTCAATTTGACTTACCCTATGATTTTGGTATGCTGTTACAGCAGTAAACGATGTCTCAGGAAAAACGAATGTTTTGAAATTTTCAGTACAATTTTCTTCAGAAGAAATAGTTTTTGGTGGCAGGTAGACTATGTGAAACCTAGGTTGGTACTTGTGCATCGAATTTAGAATTATCTATAACCAAAAAAGCATAAAAATAATTTTTTATTAAACAATAGTTGAGAAAGTGTAAATTTGTGTTATAGCTATAAAAAAAATATTTTCTAAACTTACGTGTCCATTATCGTCTAATTGATTATTGGTTAATTTTAATTTATCAAATGACACAGTTTGTTTCATCCACTGAGCACCTGTCGCAGGACTATCAGGATGGACGTGTATCCGAGGAGGTGATACAGGATCAGCCTTTCCAGCCACTACCCAACTGGAGCTGAAACAAAATCAATGAAGTAAATCTCCACCAAGCGATCTAATTGTAAAATGAGACTATTTAAAAAACTAGTCATCAGATTTGTAACATAAACATGCTGTGTCAATAAGTGTTTTTAATTAACATACCTGTGAAAAGCATAGCGATATCGTTTATCATCTACAGGTACAAAATCCATCATCAACATATATTCAGAATGTAAGTCTAAACCGCAAAGTTTCACTTGGAAAGTTGGAAACATCCTTCGTCCAGCTTTAGTCACTATCATTTCCGTGCCCAAGGAGTGAAACTGGTCCCAAAGGTGTTTCATTTCCAATATTCCTCCCGCATTGCTTAACGCAGGTGATATTGAACCTAAACTGTAACAAAATAACGAAAGAAAATTATGAAGGTTAATCGCTTACTAAACATACCACTCTCCAACTTTAATATAAATAAAGAAGTCAAAGTTTAAAAATAAACTAGCTCTTAATAATGAATTTAACCCTTCAAATTAATACCATTATTAGCAAAGTCAACCGAACAAAGAAATCTTACTCTTTTTTAATATGATTTCTGTCCATTTCTGAGCATAGCAACAATTATTAACCATATATTTACAAATTGAGTTGATCCAATAGAATCTGTGATCTGGTCACCAAGCAATATTAATTGAGATTCAATACATGTAAAATATTTTTAAATTAAATAAATTAATGACTATACACAGGTAAATAATACCGAAACAGAACGAGTGACTTATTTTATTACAATTTTTTACTTGCGAAAACTTACAGGAAAATAAATCAATTCTACCTTGCAAGTTGTTGCAAAATGTACACATAAAATTCAACGGTGAGTGTTTTAATACATTTGTCCGAGATAACAGGAGTTAAAACATTGAAGTATTTCTAGATTCAATTCTTGGCACTTTAAATACAAGTTATTCTAATAACTCGGAACAATCGATCTGGTAATGAGCAGGGCCACCGAGAGCCAGGTCAGGCCTCAGGATAATTTTATAAATTGAGCCCTTTCTATATCACATTTCTAAAAGAAGCCATCCAGCAAAAAGTTAGATCCTTTTTCAGTGAAATCTAAAAAAAGGTCCTCACCTTGTATTTTTGGTAAATCAAGTCTTTCTATCTTAAATACCAATAATTTTAGATATCGCCTTTGAACATTTTCTAGAGCGTTTACATAAATATCATAAAATGGTTTCCATATTAATGAGGCATATTCAGAGTTGGGCAGTACTCAGTAAGTACTTTCATCCTGATAAGACTCATACTCGAAAAATTTCTACTTTACATTTTAGAGTACTCAGTACTTCTAATTTCTACAACTGACGTTTAACGGGTACAAGTACTGACGCGCGCATATATATAATAATGCCCGGAAAGGTTAAATCATTCAAATATTTTAGAGCGTTTAGGGTTGTGGTTCCTTTGGCTTTCTACAAAAATTTCCAAAAAATAACTAAACAATGCTAATTGATAAATTTTGAATTTGGAAAATCTAAATCTTCCGCTTTGCTTCTTTTTTCTTGCTCCCGGTTCTTCTGCTTTCTGCTTTAACTTCTGACTTATACCTCCTGTTGTCCTGTCTGGTCTCCTATTGCTGTTTTCCTCTACTCCTCCTTCTCATGTGCGTCGTTTTGGGTGAGGCAAGGGGGGGCAGTTGCCCCTCCCTGGCTTTTACTACTTAATCATCAACGTGTAAGATATACATTACTGATTTTTTGTTGGGTAAAAAAAGAATACTTTTTCTCTACCGATCAGAAAATGAAAATAGTGGACAAATTTGGAATCGACAATTTTGAAGCTGAATACCAAACGTGGATAGCTAACTGGACTACGAAAGTGCTTCGTGCACACAATGAGGTCTCCGTTAATAACAAAGATGAACATGGCCGCGATCTACAATTAATGTAAATAGGCAACTGGGCTATGCATGATGAGTCGATGAGTGTACAGAAAACAAAAAAGAAATTATGTCTTCTGTTATCGATATTTTTGGTAGAAAAACAAGAAATTTCAAATTATCGTTTTCCTAAAGTTTTTGTTTGTGTTCGTCGACGTGTTTGAGTGAGTTTTTTATGTTTTCGTGTTTCTTAAATATTATATTTTTTTTATTATTATGTATGGCTGTGTATTCTTGTTGCTTTTTTTCTGTTATATCACACCTTCTTTTTGTTTTTTAAATATAAGAGTTTTAAGTTTCTTGTTTTTTTATTTTAGTTTTTGTCTTTTTTGTTGTTATTTTCTTTATTAGAGAGAATTTTATTTAGTATTGCTGTTTTGTTTTTCATTTTCTTTTTTTACAAAAAATAAACATTCCAAATTTTTTTCAAAATGTTGCCCCTCCCTATAGAATTGTGTAACGACGCCCAAGCTCCTTCTGCTGAACTCTTTCTTACTATGTTTACCTTCTTGCTATTCGATTCCCACTTATCTTCAATTAAAATAAAAATTTTATCGGCCTTTCTTCTGTTATTCTTTTTTTATTATAAAGGGTGTCCAAATTTGTCCTTGAAATAATATAATATTATTGTATTATTTTAAAGTTTAAATGTCGCGGTTAATAATGAAAAATGATATCCGGCATGTAATCCCTCTGCTTCTTTAGCATGCTAACATTCTTTTTATAAAATTTTCAAGAACATTTTCACAAACATTCTATTCAATTTTTTAAATAACGTTAACTCGAAGCTATTTAGGTATTTGAGGATTATTAGCATACATTTTTCCCTTCAGAAAGCCCCACAAGAAATAATCCAACGGTGTAAGGTCGCATAACCTAGGCGGACAATTAACCTCAGCTCTTCGAGAAATTATTCGAATGCCAAATCTCTCCCTTAAAAGATTTAGTGTTTTATCCGATATGTGGCAAGTAGCACTGACTTGCTAGAACCATCCATATCTTCTAATTCGTTCCACAAATAATCTCGTAATCATTGTCCTGTATCGCGGTTATCGAATCACCAGCTTCATTTTGGAAAAAATAAGGTCTAATAATGCCACTAGACCAAAAACTACACCACACAGTCACATTTTACAATATTTCTCTTGGATTTTCTTTACCCCATATTCTGCTGTTGAAATCTCTTCATAAAACTCTCAATAACTTAAACAGATGGTGATAAATTTCTTCCAAAATGCGTAAGACATCTTCTTGCAAGTTTCAGTAAAACATTCCTCATTTTAGTAATAAGTTTTTACAATAAAAACGGGGTTTTTGATGGACAGTTGTTCCATGTTGACCAGAAAACAGGTATCCGTATGACATATGTTACCATAGAAATACTGTCAATGAAGATTGCCAAAAATGACGGCCAATTTAAATCGGAATGTCAAATTTGGACACCCAATATTTCTACAATATAAAATCTTCAACTTTAAAATCTATCTATCTATCTATCTATCTTCAATATTATATTTTTTGACTTTTTTTATTTGCCATCTAACAATTCTAAAACCATCTGACAATCTTTCCAACGTTTATTTGGCAATTCCATTAATTTTCTAAATCCCACTACCATCGCAGTCAGAACTCTAAGGCAATTCGGAATAAATTACCGATGCCAATGATACAGGAAGAAAAACACAAAAACATATATGTCAAATGACGGAATCATGACAATATACGCGTGTATATATGTTTTAAAATATATAACTGTTCTTTTGAGTATACCCTTAATATTTTACTTTAAGATTAAAATAGAAAAGTTGGGGGTACACGTTAATGGTATCTGTATCTGTAACGTGTGGAGGGTGGGTTACCCACACGGCATTTAGGCCTCATTAGGCCCATTATGCATCCTCCTGAGATGATAGGCACCTCCTAGCTCGTGAGTCAGCCTACAGATTTTATGTAGTTGACAACGTCGCCAAGAGGTGCTTCTCTTATATCGGCCGGTGTTAGCCGATATCACACGTTAATGGTAAGTGAAAACCAATTTTTAGAAGATAAGTTTTTATTTGTAACTTACTGACTATTAGTTACTCGATTTTATCATGAGTACTTTCTAAAATTTGCAAAAGTACTCATTTGCTTTGAGCACTATTCACATAAGTACTCATACTCAAATACTTATGAGTACCATGAGTACTTTAACTCAGTATTCTTCCCAGCTCTGGGCATATTCTTATTTTGATTTGTAGAACGCATTGTACAAATGATTTATGGTTTCGATAGAATTGAGGTCAAGCCTTATGATAAATTCCAAATTTTTGAATGATGCTTTTACATTGTCATTTAGATGTTAATTAAATATATTTTTTATCAAACAAAATCAGTCTTGTTTAATAAATCACCGTCCAAACAATAGTAATAGAGAAATGCATATTGTTTAGTATATGGCACGACATTTTTTTGAATTTAGGGGATGACAGGGGGGAATATCGCGCATACTGTCATGGAGTTAGGGCTCGGAATTTTTCAGTTTTTTGTATTCGAACATTCGTTTAAAACTTTATTCGAATACCCAAATTATTTACTATTCGAATATTTCTAAGTATTCGAATATTCGACTATTCGTACGTTTGAGTATTCGACTATTCGAATATTCGACTATTCGACTATTCGACTATTCGACTATTCGACTATTCGACTATTCGACTATTCGACTATTCGACTATTCGACTATTCGACTATTCGACTATTCTAATATTCAACAATTCGACTATTCGAATATTCGAGTATTTGAATATTCGAGTAGGTATACGAGTATTCGAATATTCGAGTATTTGATTATTTGATTAATGTATAATTCATACCTGTTTGTTTTGGTATGGTGCCTAGTTCTTAATTGATTCCATAAATTACTGGTATTACTTCTGTGTATGACATTGTAAGTACATAATTTACACTATACACAATTTTCTTTTTTTCGAAGTAAAGCCAAATCTTACTGCGTTCTGAACTCATATTTAACACCTGTAGCGGGCAAGCGTTTACCGACATACACACACTAATAGGAATAAAATACCTAGTAAATTATAAGTTAACAAACATAAAAAAGCGTGTGAAAAGTGCGAATATGAAACAACGTTGGGTTCCCCTCATTTACCAAATAAAACGCCAGCGCTACAAGGAAATAAATACAATGTTGCCGTAACGTAATAGTTCCGAATCCCAACAAGTCAGAATTTTTTTAGTCGTTTTTCTTCTGCCTTTATTTTTCAGCAATAGGTAAAAAAGAAACATTTAAATTAGGTATATAAATAAATTCAAAATATATATCCGAATATTTGAACATTTACAGTATTCCGATATTTAAGTATTCGAATATTCGAGTATCGAATACCTAGTTCACTTAGTTTAATATTCGAATATCGAGTATTCGAATATTGAGTATTCGAATATTCGAATATTCGAC